GATTGTTGGATCGTTTGGTTTGATTTCCGGGCAACCACATGATCATCCGGAGCACAACCTGGTACACATTTTCGATTGGCTTAAAAATGTCGTAATAACGCAAGAGTCTAATAAAGTAAAACCTATGACTATGACTATAACAAACTATAATATTACACAAAAAAGCTTATTTGATGATGTCACGTTTTTTCGTAACAGTGGAAATTAGTAAATACTTATTATATCACTGTAAAAAAATTTTCGTTATTTCTCCATATTTTTTGTGAAAACTTGGTGAATTTGCAATAAGCCGAATAATCACCATGATTAAGGTTATAAATTCCGTGAATATGCAACATTTATGTACAAAACACGGATACTTTTTTTATAGTTACTCATTCGAAGATTATTTACAACAATCACACACATGTTTAAATGTAATCAGCAATATGGGCGAATCCGAAATAACAATTAACACACGCAGATAAGAGTGATGTCACACTTGTACGGGTCGTAACTCTTATTTTCTAATAGGTAAGCTATTCTTTTATTAAAAATCAGTTAATATATAGTATATATTTATTTAAAAAGTTATCTATTGTATTTGCAACCAAAATTTCAATTTCTGGATATTTGAGCTCGAATTAGGATTAGTTGAATTGGGAGTCGGTCATTTCTAAAATTCAGTAGAGTAAGGCTTAAAAGACTTTCATTTCGTTCCCCTCAGCTCTAGTCAATTAATATTAACCTTAATAACTTAAATAATGCAATTTAAGTATATTTACTAAATAATTGAGTGATAAATAATTTAAACAAAGTTCATTTGTTCATAATATTTCATCATTGGCTGTAGAGTCAAAGTATTTGAATAGATAAGTTAATATTTCTATCTTTATGAATTAGTAAATTAAAATTATCAAATACGGAAATACGCACATGAAATGTCATCAGAAATTGAAAGATCGATTGTAGCAGAATCTAAAAAACTCAAATAAATTTTATCGATTAAAATTGAACATATAATAAGTGTAAATTATTTACCGCATGTCTTTAATAATTTTGCAGGTGAGATAAATGAAGAATTAATTGGTTCAGAAAGGTTTTTAAAGCTAAGTAATTTACTTGTAAGTTTATCTTTAGGGCAAATTGGCAATTCAATTGATAATGTTGGAATTATTGTATCTGCAGACTGGAATGCTTTTAATATTGCCAATTCATCTTTATCTATTGGAGCATATTTTATTATACCATACCATATTTTTAATTTTGATAAAATATCTGATGCAGTTGGTCTATTAAAAGGATTAGCATCCATACATTGATTTGCTAATTGTATATAGCATTCAGGAGTGTTTTTAGCAAATTTAGGACGTAATCCATTACATATTTGAATAGCTAACGTTTCATCATATTCAATGTCATAATGAGGAGGTCTTCCTGTAGACATCTCAGTCAGAATAATACTAAAACTATAAATATCAGCTGCCATTGTATGGTTGTTTATTTAATACTTCCGGCGCAACGTAAGGCAAAACACCGCAAATACCATCTTCTAACTCAGAATCATCATTCTTTCGAGATAATCCCATATCTGCAATATATGATGTTATATCACCACTAATACGTTGAATTTGTAATATATTACCACTATGAAAATCTCCATGAATATATTCTGCTTGGTGTACTTTTGTGAGACTAAATGATATATAGGCAAGCAGCAATAATTTAATTTCCCAATTAAGTTCTCTAAAATTTGACGATAGGAAATTATGATGACTTCCCCTGTTTGCATATTGAATTACCATCAAATATTCATTATTAGTTGTGTCTTTAGTTAATCCGTACATTTCAAGATTATTACCCATTAGTCTAAGTTCCATATTACTTTTAAACTTGTTAAGTAAAATAAAATTTATAATGTTAATAATGTATATATAATTTATCCATTATATAGAAACCTGAATATCTTAATACGCAGTAACTACACAATAACTGTAGTAATTATGGTTCCTATTAGATTTAATAGTAACTACATAGTTACTATGTGCATTAAGATACATATCCAAAATTCTGTAAAGTATATTATCTATAAATAAATCATTTTAACTTACCTCTTTTAAACAATTCTTTGGTGAACCAGGTAAAGTTTTAAGTGCAACTATACATGATGCTGTACGTGATTGTGTGTAATATTTAAAAAATCCACTAGGTCCACCTGAAACTATTCTTTTACCATCTAACCACGTTGCTGAATACACTGAACCAAATCCTCCTTTACCAATTATTTGAATATCATCTAATCTATTAAAAGGGATCCATTCGATTACATCTTCATATTTTGTAGCTTTAAGTTGAAATTCTTTAATGCAATCATCAATATCCTGATTTCCACTTGTCCATCCCTGTGTTGTCTTCTGAGAGTCACATGTTTAGCACCAGGCTTCAGAAGTGTTATATCGGTTACAATTTGCACATTTTCCATTAGATTCAAATCTTTTATAACTAAATTCATCAAATACCAACATATACTCATTTGTTTCTGTGTTTTGAGTTAGTCCATATACTTTAAGACCATTATTCTTTAACTGTACATAATCTATAAACTTATTAAACATGTAAATATATATTAAAAAATAAATCTCTATATATTGTATAACAATAATAAATCATTAAACGCTTAAATTGATGATCCGGATAAGATCTGCAGAGTTACTATATTGGGACAATAGTAAATTTTGGGGATAAGTACAATATAAATTTTTATTATATGCTTCAATCT